ATAAAATCTTTTTGTTATGACTAGTCAATTTTTGCAGATCAAAATTAACAGAGATCTCTTGTAGAATTAGGGTTAAAGGAATGAAAGCTCTTCTTGACTGTAAATGTAAGTCTTTTTATATGATTTCCATACACCTCTATATACTTAGGCCTTCTAGTCTTGTATATCTTTACCTGTTTTTAACAAGATGCAAAAGCATAACTTACTTATAGCTTTCCTAATATTTTTCTGTCTCATTTACTATTAACCTATTTGTGGATGTAAAAAATAATCATTTACTATGACAGGCAAAGTATGAAAAAGCACATAAGATGGAAAAGCAGGAAGAATTAGCTCTTAGGAGGAGCCTTCACAATCTTTATCTTTAAGGGATTAACAGAGTCTGTAATGAAGTCCCACAAAGTAACACCGGAAGATTGTCTTTGGTCCTTAACCCTTCATGCACCTCGTCTAAGGCTTCCAAGATTTCCTTTTTGGTTGGCGTCCTGAGAGCTGCATTTAACAAAGCCCAATAAAAAGGAGCACCTTCTGGAAAATGATTAGGCTCAGCCAAAAGGGCTTCATTCAACTGGTTTCCAACTGTCTCCCATACTTCAGCGTTTATTTCTGCCTTATCACATAGCCATAGACAAACTGTGTCCAGAATCTTAACAAAGGCCTCTAATCGTGCCCTCTCAACTGTTACTCCTTGATCTTGTGCCTTCAATAGGCTTTGAATTGAATTTTCTAGATAATTTCTCGATTCCGATTGTCCCATTTTTTTTTTCTTCCCTAATGGACTTGACACTCTCTACCTTCTATCACTTTTTTCTTTTTACCTTTTTATTTTTTCTTACTTTCTTTTTACCTTCCTCCGGAGCACCGTCGCTGCCTTCGACCTGGGTCCGGGATTACATATCCTCATCTACTTTCAGGTCCCTGTTCGGGCGCCACTTGTCGAGAGCCGCGATGTCAGGATCCTGCCAGCAGGTCCTAAACCTGAAAGAACGAGGACAGAGAGACGAAAGGTACCTTTCTCCTCATGTTCCTTGCTTGCTATCTTTATTACAGAACCTCTTCCTTTTATACTCTCCAGCTGCACAGGAGCGAGGGCTGCGCGGGAGCGAGGGTACCGCCCACACATTCCAGGGGGAAACAATAACCACCATTACGGGTTACATCTGCTACCAGCTGAACTCTCCCGTGGCTATGGGCGAGAGCACGTCCGTGCCGGCGAGGTGACTCAAAGTTCAATCATGGCTAGGCCTGTGTCAAGGCTCACCATAATGGCTCGCCATAGCGCCACTAAGCCAAATCCCAGCCCCAGTGACTGGGGTTTCAACTGTCGTCCATGTTGGCTCCTGAAGGGCCGCCCCTGTCTTACCACCTTGGAGATAACTAACTTAGCTATCTATGGTACTGGGATCGGGGAAGAAGACATCCCTGTCTACAGAGGCAGTTAGGTGAGCCTGGGAGAGCCTGTGACGCAGGACTTGGGGCCAACTTCCTCCACCACAGACAGCACCCTCCTTCGCCATCTCAGGACTGCTCCTTTCCCTCAATTTTGGTCTTTTCCAGAAGGTCGCCTCCTCAGGAGCTGCCCTGTCCCTGCGTGGTGTGGCCAGCACCGCCCAGCCCAGACCCCAGGTCCCAGCGCCTCCCTGCACATACCCCTGGGATTTTTCTGAAGTGTGGCACCGACTTGCTCTGGAACTTTTCCTTCTGTGCTCACTGTGTGTGTGAGGCAGGAACATGGCAAGTTGGAGCCCAGCCCTAGCAACTTAGACCCTGTCACAAAATCAAAATAAATAAAAAACCTGCTGACTGTGTGGCTTACTGGGAAGGGTCTGGGTTCAGTCCCCAGTTGATAATCGATAATGGGGAGAGAGAGGATGTAGGACCCTGTTCCCTTGTCTTCTGCATGTCCAGCTGCCAGGGCTGAGTACTTTGGACACCAGATGAGTGAATGGGGAGCCTGGGGGATGTGCGAATAGATTTTCACAGAAAGGAGGCCACTGGCCGCTCTGAAAGTGGATTAGGAGCCGGCCCATGAGGGCACTTCCCTGTGGGGCAGGGTGAGCTCCGCCATCACCCCATGAGTTGGTCCCACTTCTCCCAGGATCCCGTCCCCATCCTCAGTCTGCTGAAAGAACCCCATCGGCTTTATTCTGTGATGCTAGACTCAGGCTCTGCTCTGAACACCAGGCTGGGGGTTCTGGTTCCTTGTTGATGGTGGTCTGACCCACCTGGTTAGCACCTTCCTGTGGGAAGCCAGCCATGAGCCACTGGCTTTTTGAAAGACAACATTTGTTCCTTTTTAAGGACTGCACGTGTTAAACTTGTTTTGACCCTGCACGGGAGAAACACGGACAGCCAAAGATCTGTAGGAGTCAGGTGTTGTTAACTCCATTTTGTTATGTTAAAGATCTGATGTTATCTATAGGAGCAGGTGTTGAGGTTACTATGGTAATCCTAGCCCATAATAGTTCGGTCTTTTCCTTTAAAAGCCTGATGCCTGCCTGTAATAAACGTCACCGTGATCAGACTCTTGTCTTGGCGTCCTTCCTTTCTCTCTGCCCCATCTCCACCCCGCTGCTCTTTCAGGTTTGAGGCACTGCGGGACAGTGCTCTGCGTCACCGGTTCGCGACACCTTCTGCTGTGGCTTCTCTGCTGATTTCTCAGAAGGTCTGGTAGGCAACTTAGTTTTGGCTTGGTGACATGGAATCTCTGTATAAGTGACTGCATTTTTTTTTTTATTCCAGACACTAAGCTATATCCCCAGCTCATTTTATTTTGAAACAGGGTTTTACTAGTTGCCCAGGCTGGGCTCAAACTTGTGATCTTTACTAGGATTACAAGAGTGAGCCCCTGTATCTGGGTTTTAGTCTGATCTATGGAGACCCAGTTCAGTACAGCAGCCTCCTGTGTTGTTACTTGACACACCTGGTCACACGTCCACATTTCAGATAAGAAAATGAGGCATAGAGAAGTTAACTGCGCCAACTCCCTGGCTCACTGTCAGCTCGGGTCCTGTCAGAGTCCTGCTTCCCCTGCTCACCTCACAGCCTGCCACACTCTCCAGGGGCCACGCATCTCTTCTCAGACACCAATGAGAGCTGAGCGCCGAGCAGACACGAGCCGTATCTCACTAGTGACAGCTTCATAAAGAGACCAGCTTTATTTGGCTCTCTGTTCCAGAGGCTCAAGGCCCAAACGACAGCCTGTGACAGAGCCTCTGGCATCTCCCCGTCCTTACAGACCCACTGCCTGCATCTGGGATCTCGCCCTAAGGTGCGCCAAATTGTCTAAAGGCCCCCACCTCTCCACCTGCAGTCAAAGTAATTTTCTGCCCTCCTAACCATTTGACACAGACTGCAGGGGTTAAACCCCTGCATGGGTGTGTGTGTGTGGGGGGAACAAACTATTCAAGCCAGCAAGCTGTGAAGCTGTGGGGTGTGGCAGTGCACGCCTGTGATCCTAGAACTTCGGGAGGCTGAAGCAGGAGGATCGCAAATTCAAGTCCAACCTGGGTGCTGGACAATTCAGCCACTTAGAGAGTCCTTGTCTCAAAATAAAAAATAAAATGGGCTGTGATGTAACTCAGTGCGAGGGCCCTGGGTTTACAGCGGGTTCTCCCAAAAGACCATCGAGGACCACGTGGGGACCTGGGGACTCCGTGGGTTACCCGAAGAATCTGTTTTAACGAGCTGTTTAGGGAATCATCGCGTACATAACAGTTTCAAAGCCTAGGCCTGTCCGGCGCTTCGCTGTCAAAACACCCTCGTGCGAACCGCTTTGGCTTCCCGTTCCCAAGGCAACAAGGGAAGGGTTCTTTCCACTCTCCTTCCCGCCTCCCGTCCCTACGGAAGCAGCCGAGTTTAATCGGAAAAGGCCGAGCGGAGCTGGCAGGCCGTTTCCGGCCGGGGTGCATTATGGGAAAGCGCAGTTTCCGTTGGGCGCTGGGGTGCGAGGAGCCGCTGGCAGCTCTCGCACGTGAAGCGCATCTCGGGCTCCGCTCGCGGGCCGCCCCCTCTCACCGCCAAGCGCCTCGGGAG